CATTGAAGTTTGTTACATAATAATAGTAGCCAATAAAAAAAGTTTTTGAAATTTTCGTGAGTGCATGCAAGGATTGGATTTGAACTGGTCAAACTTTTTAATCGAAATAGGTATCTTAAGAAAATCTTAAAAAAATTAGACAAAAAGAAAGAAATTATTGTATTGCTTTTATCTGCCACTACCAAAACTCCACTGCCCTTTGTTTTTTCACCACACCATTCCACTAGTTGCATCCTCAACTTAGCATTATAAACATGTTAGTAAAAATTATTATAAAGCAATAATTAATTAATCAAAATCCCACTAAAAATTGCTTTCTCAAGATATAAATTTGTTCCTCCACAAAAAAAGAATTTTTTTTTTTTTAAGTATAAGAAAACAAACACATCGTTTGAAACCGGTTTCAAGTCATTCAAACAGTAACAAATATGATTAAAAAGACACAATTTTTGTCCAAAATTTCGTCTCTTTAATTTATTTATTTTCTAGAAATTTTTATTGATCGATCATCTAAAAAATAATACAAGTTGCTTTGGGGTTCTTCTTATTTATACCCATAAAACCATGGCAAAGTTCATCCCCGCACAAAGAGAGTAGAGAGAAAAAGAGATTAGTTTTTATCACAATGGGTTTAAAGAGAGAATCCATCTTTTTCAGTGTCATGCTCCTCCTCCTTCTCCATATTGCAACTGCGAGATTCATCCAAACTTCTTTACCTTGCGGAGATCGTAAGCACCATGTCTAATCCGATTTTTAAATTTTTGAGTTTAGTGGTGATTAAACACGATGTGAAAGAATTTTATATTGGTTGTTTCTCTCTGTTTAAAATTTTACTTAAACTAATCTTGAGTTGAGCGATGATTTAACACTGCTGACGTTATGTTCTATAGTCAAGAAGAAGATCGATATGGGTAGGAAGAACACGGTGGGACTGCAGAATCGGCTTCTGATTAGCTCGGCTCGGCCAAGAGGAGGCAACTATATTAACAACCCACAGGCAACGGAGAAGGCCGCGGTGCGAGCCTCCGGCTACCAGCCATGACGGATGTGGAAACTGGTTATGATCTCATTTGTGTAAGGAAGTGCATGTAGCGATCATGTTATGGCTGGGGGATTATGAATAAACAAGGGTTTGGAGTTAGCTCTCATAGAGTTTTATGGAAGTGTTTTGATGATATTTATATTTTGTAGTAATTGAAATGTATGTTTCTTTATTCAAATGGTGTGGGTTTTGGAGAAGAGAAGATAGGTTGTGACTTTGTGACATTTTAGTGAGAAAATATGATGCCAAGCCAGCATTGAAGAAACAATGACGAGAAGTATCAATATTCATGCATTCCATCTCATAATCAAAACATGCCCTTCAAGATCATGATTTTTTTGGCTCATCCATTTTGACTGGATCTCATTCTTAGACCGGATGCGTTTGAGTTTTTGGGCTATGATAGCATATCAATATTCATGGGTTCCATCTCATAACCAATTGGCAATGAGAGGAGTAACCATATCTATTATAAACTATTCTTAGGTTCATTTTTCTTTTGAACGTGGCATTCTTAACAAAAAGAAAAAATATGTATGGTATTTAAAAAATGAAGATATATATATATATATATATATATATATTGAAATGAGAAACCATTTCATTGAGAGGGTATGTGAGAAACATACAAAAGAATGAGGGCTATATAAAAGCGCTCCAATTTAGCAAAATGGTAGATAAATTATAATTACAAAAAGGATGAGATTTTGAGGACCAAGTTGATGTCAAGACTTTAATATCCTCCAAGAGTTGAGCAGAAGAGCGAGATTTATCCAAAAAAGATCGATTGTTTCTTTCCAGCCAAACACTCCAAAGAACAGCACCAATACCATTTGTTAAAGAATTGATCTACTGCTTCCAGATGAGAGGTAGAGTCTCGATGAGAAAAAGCTCAATACGTCCAAGGAGAGCAAAGGAAATATTGAAAGAGGAAAAAAGATTATTCCACGATGTAGTCGTGAAAGAGAAATGGAACAACAAATGATCTAATGTTTCGCCTGAGTATTTGCACAAAACGCACCAATTTGTACTGATGAAAATCTGATCTGCATCTTATCAAATGTGTTAATACCATGATGGAGACGCACCATAGAAAAACTTGCATTTAGGAAGGTATAAACTCCACACCTTAATAAAGGTAGCAGAAGGAAGGGTCACATCAAGTTTAGATTTTATGGACTTTACTGGAAAAAAAAAATCATCTCTTGAGTGAAGCCAGAAAGGTCTGTCAAGTCCATGAAAGTCAGAAGGCAGACAAAAAGTTGCTAAGATGTTATCCCACAAAATCGGGCAAAAAATGAAGATATATTTAGATTGTATAATGTAATAGAACTAGTTTCGTGTTTATTTTATTTTGAGGATGAATTCTCAAAAGTGTTATGTTTTGATTATTATACTTTTCACCCAAAATTATTTTAGTTTTACGGGTTGATTTTTGTAAATTATTTATAAAAACCTCACCGAGACACCTTTTTCCTTCATTCTCCTCGCACAAAATAGGTGAAGTATTTTGTTTCCAAAAATTATCTTTGAAAAGAAAAAGTGATCAATAAAAATTAATAGTAATTAGTAAAATTGTCCTTTTTTTTAATTAAATTGAAATATTTGAAAGTTAAAAAGACCAAAATAAAATAAATAAGGAMCTAGATATCAAGCGGGGATAGCTCAGTTGGGAGAGCATCAGACAATTAATTTTTTATTTATTAGAATAGTGATCAATATTTTGATACCTATTTGCAAAAGTTTTAATACACAATGAAAACTTAATATATATGTATAATTAAGTTTCAAAAAAATTAATGAGTGAAATGCTGTTCATCGAAATAAATGAAATTAAAATGAAAAAATCAAAATGGTTAAAGTATGAAAACTAAAATTAATAAAAAAAAATTAAAAATACAGACACCAAAAAAATATTTTAAAAGTATAGGTACCAAAATGAATCAAAATTGAAATCATATTTAACTCGTATAATTGTGGCGCTACGACCGAAATGAAGAAAATGGATCAATTTTACTATTAGAAAAAACTAAAATTTAATTAAAAGTTGTGCTTGGTGGAGTCCAACCCATATGAAGATAGCTAGGTCCACACTTTAGTCAAAATAAACAAGAAAAAAATACCTAACCACACTATTATATTATATATATGTGCTTTCTAATGCGCCCATTAATAAAACATGTTATTTGGCTCTCCCAAGTGAGTCCAATTTTTTTCTTTTTTTTATTTGGAGTTATTTTCGATCAGTAAATTATCAATTTGTGATTGTATAGAGTATTTTAAAATTTTGAATTTCATATTTATATGATTTTTAAAAACTTTTGTATCATTGTTTTGATGTCTAATTCATAAAATCTAATATTACTTTTTTTTTTTTTACAACATATGAATAGGGAGATCGATTCGTAATCCCTTGATTGAAGATATATATTAATTACTATTGAGTTATATATAATCGTTCTTTAACCCAACACATTAACTATTAATTTCAATTTGTGAGAAAATGGTATTGCAATTATCACGAAAACTTTCTATTTTGATATCGTATTAAATTATTATTAAGCTTGATACACCCAACTAAAACCCAATACTTTTCACCGAGTCAATTTTTTCATAGATGCCACCCTTTTCTCCATCTCAATTATATATTTGTGTTTCATCGTCATTTTAATAATGTTTTGATGTTGAGAAAAAAATATTCTTTTTATATAAAATTATTCTTTCTCTCTTTCTCTAACTCCAAACAATCATAACTCAGTAGTAATTTATATAGATTGTGAGTTCTACCTCCAACCTACATTGTAGTAGTAAAAAAAAAAAAGACTCCATTTTTTTAAGATAAAAAACTTTCACAATTGCCCATGGGAGTGGATCTTGTAGGGGAAAAAAAGAATAGACTTTTTTGTAAGAGATACTGAAATCATTTTTTCGGAGAGTTTGAAGGAATTACTCCAACTCCTAATTCGTAGCCTTTTTTTTTCTTCATTTAGATTTAAAGTGAATCAATGTTGTAGGTTTCTTGTTTCTCTCCCCTACTTTTTTCCTTGAAACATTAAGGTTAGACGATAATTTCCAAGAACTGAGATTTAGACTTTTTTTTCATCTTTTTTAATTTGAACTATGCAGCTCATGAATTAAGAGAATGGCCATTAATCTCTCTAAGATGTTGCAGTTTTAATTTAACTTCTTTTTTCTCCCTCTTCCAATTCATGTGGAAACAATGGCTATAGTTTTTTTTGTAATATCAAAATTAACAAAAAAAATTATAAAAGGAAAATTACTCTATAAATTTCATACACAAGACTCAATTATCTAACTTCGAACATATTTTTAGTAGACACTACGGACCCGTTTGGTAACGTTAGTTTTTATTTTTCGTATTTCATTTTTAGCTTTTGAAAAGCATAAGCTTTGGTAACTATTCATATATATTTCTCATTTTTTTCACTTTTAAGAAACACTTCTAAAATTTTGAAAACAACACAATCAACTTTCTTGTTTTTCATTCTCATGTCCAATTTTTTTCAAAATATAAATAAAACATTAATTTGTCATTCTTGATTTATAAAATCCATAATAAATATTCGAAAATAAATATAAGATGAAAAAATTGAATATTTAATTTTGAAAATTAATTTCATATAAAAGTTTTACTTTTGAATTAAAATTATAGAGGAGAAGAAATTAGAAATGATTTGTTTCATTTTACGGAAAAAAAGAGAGGGAAAAAGTAACCACAAACTATTATTAAATCTATTTTTATTTATTAAAAAAAACAAAAAACAGAAAACAAAGTAAAGGAACCACTAGTAAAGGGGCTCTACACTAGTATCCTCCAACCAGATTTATACCTTGGACCAAAATTTCACGACAACATATATGTTTTGTCTTGGAAAAAGAAAAGATCAGTTTTAATTATTACTATAAAACATATTACAAGAGACTGAAAATTCAGACATGTTGAGGGAATTGCTTATTTTTATGAATATATATAATATGGTATAATTATGGAAAAGATTATTAAAAGGGTTTCTTTCTACAAACCCTAATCTCCATTACAACCAAATAAAAGAGAAAAATAATGGCCTTCGTCTCTGCTTATGGACGATGAGATAAATAATTGCCATTTCTTGGGTCATCATTCAGAAGCCGACCTTCATAAATAGCCCCAACCTCAGCATCTTTCTCGTCTGCAAAAATGAAAATTACTAAAACTTAAACACTTGTTTTTCCAAAATACTTTTCTGTTACATTTTCAAAATAGTCTAACTTGCTTGACTTTTTGGCATAAATAATTGCATATTTATAACATGATAAAATATTTGACAAAAATAGCATAAATATAAGAACTTGTATCTAATGATATAGATATATCAATGATATATTTTATATTAGGTATATTAGCAGTGAATTATGTAAAAATAGTATATCTAATATCAGTGAGATACAAAGGAAAAATTATCATATTTGTATATTATTTTTCTATTTAACAAATTTGCAAGTATGACAATCAGTTTTGCCATCCAGTAAAATAAAATAAAATCTAAAACGATCGTTCGTACTAAACAAGATAAAATAAGTTGAAAAACAAATATCCTTACAAGTTGAAGGAGATGTATGGGCGCCAACAAGTCTTCCGACAACCGAATGGCCTCCGAACATAAACACAACCACGAAGAGAAATTTCCAAAAAATTAGGTTATAATTTTTGGGAGCCATGATCGAACTAAAAATACTTAGGGTTATGCATTTTATTTATAGTCTCAAAACTAATCTAAGTTGTTGGTCTCTTTGGCTAAAAACAGTATATGAAAGACTTTGGGAAGTCATGATTACGGGTCCAATTTGATCCCCCTTTTCTTTACCTCATTACCAAAGTCTTTGTTCTTTGTTGACTCTTCAATTGCAATAAATGGGATGATATTTCTTCACAATTTTTTTTTTTATAAATTTTCAACGTTGATGACGAGGAGAAGTCTACAAGTTTGAATCCAAACCGTGTTATATTCAATATGGTCCATATGCATAGACCATAGTTAGTTTAACTACAAGTATTAACTATGGTTAATGTTCACGATGTATTAATTATTACATATAGGCTATATGCAACTTTGAGAAACGAGCAAATATAGATAGGAATTGTGGAGATTTGAACTTCCAATCTTGAGAGGAATTCATATCTTTAATGCTGAAGATGTACTCAATCATCTATCCTAAAAATTTTCTAAACTATAAATTAGTCTTAATTTATTTGGCCTAATTTTAGCCCGATTTATGTATGCTCATCTATTTTTAATCAGTCTAACTTGCTACTAAAATCAATGAATACGTGTCACCTCATATAAAACATTTCACTATAAATTTAATTTGAAAATTTTTTGAAGTGCATAGATGAACAAATTATACCCTTTAACCTTTTAAGGAAAAAAAGAAATAAGAACACAAAATCGCTTTCTTGATGAACGTGCCACAAAACAGGTTTCACTCCTTTCATTAATTTTTGATGCGATAGGAATCATGTATTTAACTAAATAAAACAAATAAGACTTTTTTTTTACACAATAAGTGAGTTGGGGAATACGAACACTGGGGAATACGAACACTGTAATTTTTTTGTCAGAGACAAATGTCAATTACTCTTGAACTAACTTCAGATCTTATCCATTGAAGCAAACATGTTACCATACATAAAAATGCTAATTATATTTTAACCTTTAGGGTAGCTTCAACTTCATGATCTCAATACCCTCCCTTCCAAGGCTTATCCTTTGAATGAAGCTTCTTTCTATCCTCGGGTTGAACTTCATGATCTAGCATAATTAAGATTAAAAAATAATTATAAAAATAGCAAAAACAAAGTTATAACCTGTAATTACTTTAATAGAAGTACATGTTTACAAATATTTTAGAAAATTCAAAGCTACCATATCACTTTTCGTTGACAATTTTTCACCTAACCCTGATTGAAAGAAAAGTGTTTGTATACATTTCTCCACATAATCAAATCAACTTACATCAATTAATATGAATTATAATAATGTAAGAACAAACCCACATCTAATAAGCGACCTAAATTAAAGGATTTTAGATATATGAAAAGAAACATCTATATTAGTATGAGAAGTTCGACGTAGGTTGTAAGGAACCGACCCGACTCGACTCGAAACTTTGACTTGTGTAGAAAAAGAAGAGATATGATACCGAGTTTAGGCGGAGAAGGCCTCTCTTGGAGAATCCTTGCAGAGGCCATGCATGCCAAGAGAAACATGAGAATAGTTAGAAGAAGCTTTCTCTTGCAATCCATTACCCTTCACTAGCAATCAATTTTGTGGAATGACTTCTATGATATGGTGATGTAAATATATAGACACAAAAATGGGGTTCGGAAACTTTGACCTTTGTTGATCAATTTTAATTCATTACTTTTGACTCGAAGGGATTACTTGTGTACATTACAGTTACAGCCTGATGACAGTCTGTCATTGCAGATTTAAAAATTTCAAAAAGGAAATAAGGAAAAATTTAAGATTTTCCTTAAAAGGTTTTTTTTTTTTTCGATTTTGACAAAAGGGCGTAATTAATTTTTAGTAAATCATTTTGTGTCCATTTTAATGTAGGTTTGTTCAACCAGAGAGTAAACAGAGAAGCCAAGCAGCATAAAAACTCATGTTTAGAAATGTATCCAAAATCTATTTTTCGTTGTTTGGAAAAAAAATAACTCAAATAAAGAAACTTCTTTACAATAATCTTACATTTTCAATTTCATGGAAAACTAGTTCTAATGTCCATCATTATTCTCTTTTCAAACAATTTAAAATTTTCAATAAAAATAAAAACAAGTTTAGATTTTTAACAACAAAAAATAAAAATAAAAAAGGAACTATGAGTAGGTACTTACACTTTTCAAATATAAATTAAATTAGATAAAAGTTTATGTCTTTTTTTAATGTTGATATGAATGATTAACAAAATAGGTATGTATTAAAAGTTGAGGGCAAAAATAGAAGGTAAAAACTCTAAACAAAAAAATGAAAACACATGTGCTAGATTTGAGCGTAATGAACCGCTCAAATGGGATTTTGCCTCATGATCCACGAACCCCAAACCTAGTGTAGATCCGTGCCCTACTTAAATAAACGAAAGTTTCTCTATGAATCATTCTTTTTTACCACAAATTAGACTTATCAAGATTGTGAATGATTAATGAATCTTAATTGAGAAAAGAAATAAGTACAATTAAACAAATTCTTAAAGGTTATTTTTTAAAATTTTCCAAAAGGACGTAATTGTAATTTTTCAAATGATTATTACTTTTATATATTTTTAGATAAAATCATTTAGTGTACACTTTTGTGTAGGTTGGTTCAACAAGACAGTAAACAGAGAAATCAAAGTAGCATAAAAAAATCATTTAAAATTTTTTACCAAACATTTTTTTTTTCTTATTTAGTAGATGATATTTTCCACTTTTCTTAAAAAATATTTACATGTTTTATTTATATCCCGAAACTTTTTCACTCAAAGGGGACTTCGTCGCCTTAATATTTAATATATGTTCAATATTGAAAGGGGGCTTGAACCTTCGAGCCTACTGTAGATCGGCCACTCTTTTTACCACATATTAAACTTACCTCTGTATAATTTATGATGGATTCAACCACCAATGATGTAACTTCATTTGTCCAAGATTCTACACATCTTTTGCATAAATTCTAGGTGAAGTTTCAGTATAAAAGAAGAGAATCAGTGTGTACAAAATTGAATTTCAAAGCACCAATTTCAAAAGTACACAAAGTTGAAGGTTGGAACACAAGAACATTCACGGCAAAATTTAGAGATATAGAGTACAAGACTCTACGTTGACACATTCTAGTTTTTACAAAGGACACTCTGCACTGCATGAAGTTTATGACTTAACCAACTGCAGCCTGCATTTCCAGCAACCGACTCACCTCGTACATTGTCGGTCGTGATCGAGGATTCATGCACACGCACGAGATCGCTAGATTCATTATCAAAGATAAATCATTGACAGTCTTTTGAATTCGAGGAAATGGCTGACGAGAGTCCAAAATATCTTTCAGATCAATGTCGTTGTTTTCAGATGAAGAATGTAATGTAAGGATGAGATCTCCCGGATGCTTTCCCGCTAGAACTTCGAGTGCGAGAACACCAAAGCTGTAGACGTCGCATTTTTCGGTCGCCACCGTGGTGTATGCGAGCTCTGCAGACCAAATTTATGAGATATAAGCAGTTATTTGAAGTAGTTAGTAACAATGCAGAGTTGAACAACTAAAGTACTTCAAAAGTTGATTCTACATAAACCATTTTATCTGTTTCAACTGAAATCATGTCAAGTCTTAGTAAGCTAATCAAGAGTTATATCCTTCCAAGTATGAAAACTTTAGCGATGATTCGACGTAAATTCATGACTTATTCGACGAAAGTTCATTTGGTTGAAAACTCTTACACACAATTTCAGATATTACCTGGAGCAATGTAGCCACTTGTGCCTGCAACTGCTGTCCAATTAGATGCATCTGCCTTCAAAAATCTTGCAGTACCGAAATCCGAAACACGAGCTTCGAATCTCGAGTCCAATAAGACGTTCTTGCTCGTTATGTTTCGATGTATGATCGGAGGATTACAATTGTGATGCAGATAAGATAACGCCCGAGCTGTACCTCTCACTGCCCGGATCCTCTTTGGCCAATCTAACTCCATTGCTTCTTTGCCAATGCTCAGTATGTGTGCTAAGCTTCCTGTTTCAATGTAATCATAAACCAAAAATGTATGAACTTTTCTGCGACAAAATCCAAAGAGCCTAACAAGATTGCTATGTCTTGTTTCTACTAAAGCTCTTGCTTCATCTTGAAACTTCTTTGAATTCTCCATCCCCATTTCGCCATCCCTCGAATGTAGCTTCTTCACTGCAAATACTGCACCCTCGGGCAGCTCGGCTTTGTAAACCTTTCCTGATCCTCCTTCCCCTATGCAGTACTCATCATCGAATTCCTTGGTAGCTTCAATTATGTCAGAATACACAACTTTACCATTGAAGAAGTACCACATGTTCGGAATCGCCTTCTCCTCCGCCTTTGCTGATGTCCTATCACCTCCATAGACTCGCTCGGTTTTCTTTCGTAGGATGTACGAAACAGTTCCAAAGAGTGCTAAAGAAATCAACAATGCACCTACTAAAGTAGGAACAAGAATAGTTACGAGCTTCTTCTTGGAACTTCCTCCATCGTCCCCCGTCTCGTGGTCGCTACATCTTGGCAACCCTTCGATGTTACCGCATAAACCTTCGTTGTTACTAAATGCATCTGGCTCAGCCCTATTAAAAATGCCTTCATCAGGAAGAGGGCCCTCTAGATTGTTATATGAAAGATTAATAGAAACCAAACTCACCATGCTGCCTAAAGAATTGGGGACAGAACCAGAGAGCTTGTTATGAGACAAGTTCAAATTCTCTAAACTTTTCAAATTCCCCAAAGTGGAAGGAATTTCTCCACTAAGTGAATTATAACTCAAATCTAGCAATTTTTGCAAGGCAGCAAGATTTCCAATCCTAAATGGGATTGAGCCATTAAGATTGTTCTTGCTCAAGCTTAAATATTGCAGCCTAGAGCAATCAGCCATTTCAGAAGGAATTGATCCACCTAACACATTGGAAGAGAGGTCAAGACTTGCTAGATTGCCAATGCTTCCTATTCCTATAGGAATCGATCCAGAAAGCCGATTGTTGCGAAGTCCGAGTACCGATAGTCTCGACAAATTTCCGATACTTTCCGGTACCGATCCAGAGAGATTATTATAAGAGAGCTCAAGCTCTACTAGATTCTTCAACCCTGTAATCTCTTCAGGAATCTCACCACTAACCTTATTCCCAGTGATCCTCAATAGGGTCAAGTTCTTGCATTCTCCCCACTTGGGGGAGAGGTTTCCTTCAATCCGATTATAGCTCAAGTCGATGTAGTTAAGATTCGGGTATGCTCCGAAATCTCGATCCAGCGATCCAGTTAGACTGTTATTTTGCATCAGAACACGAAACAAACTAGGACAATTGTTCAAACTCGTAGGAATTGGACCAGTAAAACTATTATATGCAGCAGAAAAATTAACAAGTTGTCCTCCTTTACACACTTGGGGAGGTAAATCACCACTAAAATTGTTCTCAGCAAGATGAACAACTCTCAAAGATGACACATTTCCCAAATTTTGAGGCACTTCACCGGATAAATTGTTGATGAACAAACGCAGATCAGTCAAGTTCCTCAAGTTTCCAATACCCTTAGGAATTTCTCCAGAGAAATAATTGTCATTGAGACGGAGAACGTTTAAATTACTCAAATTCCCCAAAGACTGAGGAATTGGACCAGAGAATTTGCTCCTGTCAAAAGCAATCAAAGTCAAAGATTTGACATTTCCAATCTCCTCAGGGACTCTGCCTTGAAGCAGAGTATCCTGAAGCAAGAAATTCCTCAAACTCCAGAGCCCAGTTCTTGAATCGGCAGACCCATCTGGGAAAAGACGAGGATCCAAAGACCCAGTAATGAAATTACGAGACACATCGAGCTCAAAAACCTCTGTGAGATTCGCCAGAGAAAGAGGCAGCGTACTGTTGAGTTTATTAGTGGAAAGATCAAGAAATTGGAGCTTTGAGAGCACTCCAATGGAGGGCGGGATTGCACCAGAGAGATTGTTGATTTTGAGATCAAGACGAAGAAGATTAGGAAACGAAGAGAAGTTCAATTTATCAAGAGTACCTCTCAAACCAGTAGAAGCCATGTTGATTTCAATCACAAGGCCCTGATTGTTGCATATAATTCCCTTCCATTCACATGGGTTTGAAGCAGAGGAGTTTGAATTCGAAGGAAGAATCCATGAGTCCAGAATTTGTTGCTGTGGGAGGCTTTGTTTCCATTGGAGGAGGGCCTCAGCTTCCACGGCTGAACCTTCAATGGTTCTGCAGGAAGAAAGAAGAAGCAGAAAAGGGAACAGAAATGGACATGGAAGTGAAACAGAGAGCAGTTTCTTTTGGCCGGCCATGAATATTAGTTTAGTTTAAATTTTGCTAATTGGAAAATTTGATCAGAACTGTAAGATCATATAGGAGAATGAAATGGACCCAGTTCCTATTTCTTAAAATATTTCTAGTCAAAGTAAAAGATCGAAGCTTTCAAAAGCGTAAAAAAAAAAGAGAGAACTTTTTATGTTTGACGTTGATTTGTTTCCAACTTTATTTATTTATTTTATTAAGAGGAAGAGGTTAAATGCTGAAGTATTAATAAAGTATTTGGTAGAACGTTGATGTTGATGTGCAAATTGCAATGCATACATATTTCTAAAATTCGAGAATTATTTAAATTAATAAATAAAACCTTTTCAATTTTTCTAATGAATTTAAATTTTTTATTATTAATATTACGTGTACATTTTTTTTTTATGATATGATAGACATATAAAAATATTAATGTTCAATTCTATATTTATCATATTCTTATAATTTTAAATGAAAACTTTGAAAGAAAAATTAGTATTTCTTTATTTATTTTGAAAGTTGATAATCCACTAAAATACAACAAAGGTTTACATATAGTTGCTTTTCTTTTTTTAATAACCCAAAATCGATGTTGTGTGGTCTCGCCAATAGATTCTCATATTTGGAGCGTGTCGACATCTATCCAAAACTGTAATCGATGTTGTGGGATTAATTTGTCTCCAATTGAGAGAAACTCCGACGATGCGTCCCACAAGATTTGAAGAGTAGTATCCTATTTGGCTACAAATTCATTATACCACCACCACGCTAAAGTTGCATTTAGTATTTAAACATCTTTGTGACAAATTTTTGTTCTAAAATGATTTTGAAAATAGTTTTCGAACAAAGTATTTAAAAATGGTTTCTCTTAATATTTTTACTCATATCACTTTGTTTTTCGTTTTTCTCAAATAAAGTTTTTATTCCATTATTATATTTGTATTTGATTTCAATTATACTATTTTGTAAAATTTCAAGTTTTTTATATGCCATTTATGTAAATCCATTTTTTTAATGGAAAGCTTTCTTAATTTTCGAGAGATTAAAGACATTAAAAAAAAAATAAAGAAGACATTAAGAAAAGACCTATGTTGGTTGAGTCAAGTCTCTGGAGTATATTTAATGCCTCAACATTAATTCTTTTAATATTTCAATTAACAATTCATATTTTGACATTCATTTATATACTTCCAAACAAAATATTTTATCCATTTTTAATAAGTTTGTATTATGTAGTTCAATGGGTTGAAATATTTGACTATCTAGGATTATATATGTTCGGAATAATTTATAGAAATTTAAATTTATAGAGGTTGTATTGGTTTGTGGATTATATGATTTTGTAGAGTTGTACAATCATATAATTAGGATGCCTAGAAATTAAGAATACAATGTAAAGTGACGTACCTGTCCAAAATTTAGATGTCTAAATAATCAATTACTACATTTAGTCCGTCAAGAAAAAGAAGAAAAAAAATGAAGGACTGTATTTATTTATTATTATTGTTATTATTTTTTAGTATACTAATAGAATAGGTGAGATTCGAACTCATGATGTTTTGATTAGACATATGTACCAATTGTTACTGAATTCATATTAACAAACTACGTTTATTTTTTAAGATCTGCCAAACTAAATATAATGATGGGTATAAAATGTTTAAATTAAAGCCTTAGGGGCAAAAAAGACAAAGTAACTTAAAAGATTTTTTTGTCTCTAAAAAATAGTTTGGGTGGCTTTGACTTAAAAAAATATCCTTGAAGTCTTGGATTCAAGCCACTAACTTCTACTAAGCAATGATCCTTTGGGTACAATGTGTATAGATAATTAAAAAAAAAAAAGCTTAAAAAGATTTTTCTAGGTAGACTACGAAGTCTAAACTCATTATCCAAATTCTTTTCGAATTTCTTTTAACTCTTTTGAGTCGATAGACCAACCCAAATCATGATTATAAAATTAATTCTTTAAGTATTAGGTTCCTCTGCGTATAGAAAAAAAATTAATGTCTTGTTGCCTCGTATATGTGAAATGAAAGAAAAATAGACCATGATCATTCAAAGACTATGATTGCATTCTTTTCAACTAGAGATGAAAAACTAATCTTAAATTCTTAGGCATAGTTTAATAAAGATTTTGTTCGCTAGTTTGTTGTTTGATTTTGCTTGTTAGTTTTCTATTCTTTAAAAAAAAATGTCTACTTTAGATCACAACAAAAATAAAATAAAAAATTATGTCTACCTGATTTCAATATATGCGTGTGTGTCTATATTAGTCTATTTACTCCCCTCAATGTTTTTAATTCTTTTTTTTATCATTTTTATAAACTAATTTTAATTCTTAGTTAAATCCTAAAAGTCATCTTTTTTTTAGTTTTGAAAATTTATCTTAGATTTCTTTTAGTAAGGTAGGAATTCGAACTCAGAGCTTTTAGTTGGAAATAGGTGTGCTTTAACTAATTTAGGTTGGCAAATTTGACTTAAATTTTAAAAATATTATTAGAAGTAGGTAACAAAGAAAACTATAAACAAAATTTTTAAAAGCAAAAAATAAAAAGATAAAATAGTCATGAAATCTGGCTTCGAGACATTTTCTTAACATTTGGGGTGTAAAACAATGTTGTCTAATATTGATGTAAAATAATAAACTATGTTTTTATTTTCTCTTCCTAGTTAACATGATTCCTTTTCCATGGATAAAAATAAGCGCTTGTATCGACTACAATTTCGTTATTTCTTCCAAAGTATATAATCTTTATCTTATAATTATATCAACATACTAATTACTTTTTGATATGGTAATTAAAATATTAGTTTGATTAATGAACAGTAAACTAACTTTTGTCAAAATCTATGTTTTTTTCTTTAAAAACCGTTAGATTCATTATAATATAAAATTGGGATGACAACTTTATCAGCTCTCTCCTAAATTGTTATACGTTGGAATATTCCGATCACATATTTGTGTTGTAATATTAAAAAAGAAAAAACAAACCCATGCTTGGTTATAATTGGGATTTAATTATGAATGAAAGTTGGATATCTAAAACCATAACCCTAAGCCTTATTATTTCGTATTGGGTTGGAAGATTATTATTTCCAAGATTGGGCTTCCGAAATAATCGATATTGGGCTCCAATTAGGGAATTCTCTCATCCCAACTTTATATGTTTATACATAATAAGTAAACTGAATACATCTTTTCATTTCTCCCATTATAGTTTCGATTTGATTTTCAGGTAATAACTTTTTCTTCTTTTTTAGTTGAATTACATTCAAATTTACTGCATAGTATTATGCAGTAAATTTTTTTAACCTATTAAAAAGTATTTCTACATTTTATTTTTAATATATGTTTTCTATATGTTTATTGGATCTTTTTATAATATAAAATTTAGCGTCTCAAATTTTGAACAGGAAGACTGGAATGTATTTAAACCTAATAATAATCAATATTTTTAATATTTTGAGACAAAATTGGACAAACAACTTTTGTTTAAATTTGGTTGGATGCACTTTTATGGTTGTGGTTGTGTCTAGTGTATAAACTTTAAAAGACTCATTTATGTTTTTTCAATTTTTATTGTTTATTTTATTTAGTTTTTGTCATTGGCATCATTAATTAAATGAAAATGTGACGGATGGATGGTAGAAAAATTAGACAATTCTGAAAAATCATAATAGTAAAGTACTGAATGCAATGTATAACAACCTCTCTTTAATTTCTAAGCAATATATTAATTTTCTATAAACTGTCTTTTTTTTAGTATTACAACATGACAGTACGAGGATTCGAACTCAAACCTCTTGATGGAAAATAAGTGGCTTAACCAATTCACATAAACTTTAAGTTGGCTTCTACTAATCATGTCACTCAACAACTTAGAGTACTAACTCAACCATTTAAATATAATTAATTATACTCAAGTCAACTGTTTACGTTGATATCAAACTAGGCCTTTATTCGGTTCTCCATCAACTATACTAATTGCTAAATGTCTCATAGTTAAGGAAGGACTTCGATTAGCAACTCTCGTTTGGACGTCTGACAAATCTCTCTATTGAACGAACCAGATTGTTTTTAGGCGGTGCAAATCATAAACGGAAGTTGGAGTTGTTGAATGAGACAAAAATAATTGTGGAAAGAAATTTAGAGCTCTTTTTGTTGTTTTGAAGGAATTTTTTTCACGCTGGTACATCGCAATATGAACAATAATAATATAACCCATGTGTATGATTTTTATTAAAAGTAGTCATTTTTCAACAAAAAAGAACTCAGTAACATAATCCCTTTCCTTCTTGTCAATTGATGTGTTCTCACAAATAACATATTTTAAATGAAAAGAAAAATTGTTATTTCTTTCGCGCTCATAAATTCGTAAAGGTGCAACCTAAGTATATTCAACTCCAAGGTATATATGATTGATTATAAAGTTCTATGTTCTAATCTTCATTTCTATAGGTTGTTGATCTCAAAATAATTTATAAATAATAATTTTAATATGCACAAAAATTAATCACTCGTAAATTCAATTACAAAATTTGGAAATAGTTTTGAAAACAAAATTTAAAATATTATTTTTACAATAATTTTCCATACCTTCCATTTATGGGAGAAGGCTTCTTTGGAGCAAGAGAGAGATGAGGGATTAGCCAATAGGCAATTCCATATGACTCGAATGAGAGAGGGATAGCTTGCCAACTAAAGTCATAAAAATGAGATAATATAAAGGCACGGAAGTCTTCTATTAATTAATATAAAATTAGTTTGGATAAAATATACGAGTTTACGCTCTTAACTATTCAATCCCGATCTTTAGAAAATTGTTCTAAAAGCTCTCTGAAATCAAATTTTCGTTAGTGACAATAATGAAATGTTAGTGTGGAAGTTTTAGGGTATTAGATGACRTTTTATTTGAAATGACGTGGCATTTGTGGCATTTGTGATCCTTGGATTTTTCCTTTTTCATTTTCTTCTTCTCCCTTTCGTTTAAAATAAAATGTCAATTGCAAGTTTGACTTTAGCGAACTGTTGAGCGGTCAACTTTTAAAATTTAGAGACGAAATAGAAATATCCTATCACAAAACTCAACGTGAAAAATGTATTTTACCCCAATCTTTTGTACCATTTATTCCATCTTTCTTTCTCCCTTTTACCCTTTTCTTTCTTTGGCATATTAATATATCCTGCTTGTCTGAATTTGTTCACAGTAATGACACTGATAGTTTATTGATTTTTAAATGAGAGATCACATCAGTCAATTTCTACATAAGTTTTAAATCTTTTTTTTTGACTATGACTTGTCTTTAATTTTCTTTGGCTGGTTTCACAGGCTCAAAGTTTCTGTATTGAATATTGACGTAAAATATTGTTAGTCAACCAAGTTTAAAATATTGCATGGTTGGAACCATAAAAATAAAAATTTCCCACTTCATAGACCAAAGTTGTAATAACCTACCGACCCTAAATCGATTCCCATGGAAAATATTACTAAACGACTGCAACAATATAATTTTTATATTTTTATATCATCATATTTTAACGTTTTCGTACGTTATTCAAAAGTTTTCGAATTAATAAAGAAAAAAGCTCATAAATTTATTAGACTAGAAAGATGAGTCCTTTTACATTAGGTTAGGAATTCGGATAGCTCACCAATTGCATCAGCATATAGCTTTAAAATAAGACTCAATAAACAAATACCAAACTCATAACTTCAAATAACAAAAAGACTAGAGAAAGAAATGTTGTTGTTTCAAAGGATTAAACCATAAACAATCCATGACAAACAATTTGCACTTCTACGATAGCAAAATTTTTTAACTACACTAAACTGTAGCGGATTAGATACACAGAACAAACATCAATCACGAATAGAATAGAGAAAGAGAAAACTAAAAATAAAATGATTATCAAATAGGACCTAAGTATCTGCAGCTTGTATTTCTAGTAATTGGCAGGCATTGCGCATCGTTGGTCGTGATTGGGGATTTACGTGCGAACAGGAGATTGCTAGATTCATTATCAAAGTCAAGTCGCTGAAGGTCTTGTCATTTTCAGGAGGTTGCAGACGAGAGTCTAAGATGTCATTCAATTCAACGTTGTAATCAGGTGAAGAATGCAATGATAGAATTAGGTCCCCTGGATGCTTTCCCATCAAAACTTGAAGCACCACGACACCAAAACTGTAGACATCGCATTTTTCTGTCGCCGCCATTGTGTATGCTAGCTCTGTCACAATTAAGAACATGAATTGTTAGTTGAAGTTTGATGATCTTGCTATACAAGTCAAAGTTTCAATTTTTTTTTTTCATTTGAAAGACTAGTTATTGAAAAGCTAAGGCCCGTTAGATGACGTTGTTTTTTTCTTTCTCATTTTCTATTTTTCAATAAAGAAAAACATAATTACATTTGATAATTGTTTCTTGTTTAGTAACTATTTCTTGTTACCAAGAAGAAGTTCAATTTTGTTGTTTCGAGAAATTTTGTACACAATTTTTTAAATCTTACTCTTAAGAAACGAGAAATATAAATAGCTACCAAATACTTGTGTTTTTCAAAAATTGAAAATAAGAAACAAGAAATGGAACGTTATCAAATGAGTCATAAACAAAAGATTGATTATGAATCTCACCTGGGGCAACATAGCCATGAGTGCCAGCAACTGTCGTCCAACGGGACATGTCGGGTTTCAAAAACCTCGCTGTGCCAAAGTCTGCAACATGTGCTCCAAACTCTGAGTCCAACAACACATTGTTGGCTGTTATGTCTCTATGTATAATCGGAGGCTTGCGATCATGATGCAGATAAGATAACGCCTGAGCGACGCCTTTTACGACCTCGATTCGCTTCGACCACGAAAATGCCTTTGCTTCCTTTTCTAAGCTGAGTACATAACCCAAGCTTCCCCTTTCAATATAATCATAAACCAAAAATGTATGAGCTCCTCTGCAACAGAATCCATACAGCCTAACAATGTTCCTATGCCTTATCTCAGTCAAGGCTGCAACTTCATTTTCAAAACTCTTCTGATTCTGCACACTCATCTCATCATCCCAAGAATGTAGCTTCTTCACTGCAAATACCTCACCCCCAGCCATTTCCACTTTGTAAACTTTTCCAGACCCTCCTTCTCCTATGCAGTACTTGTCATCGAACGAATTCGTCGCTTTGATTATGTCGGAGTACACGATTCTGCCATTGAAGTACCAAATGTTCGAAAACAGCTTCTCCTTCACTGTCTTCCCATTGCCTTCTGGATCTTGCCTGCCTCTCTTTCGTAGGACACAGAAAACGGTTCCGAAAATCACCACGGATACTAACAGTGCTCCAACCAAAGACGGTACGAGAATCGTTACAAGCTTATTTCTGCTGCCTTCTTTGTCGTCTCCGGTCACAATGCTACTACAGCGCGGGAGACCGCTCACACTCCCACATAAGCCTCTGTTGTTGCTGAAAGCATCTAGTCTAGATGTTTTGAAGATGCCTTCATCAGGGAGAGGACCCTCAAGATTGTTGTAGGATAGATTAATAGAAACCAAGCTCACCATTCCGCCCAAACTATCTGGTATTGATCCAGAAAGATTGTTATGGGACAAGTTCAAATTCTCCAAGCTTACAAGATTCCCCAAAAGTGAAGGAATTCCTCCACTTAGCGAATTATGACTTAGATCAAGTAAATCTTGCAATGTCACAAGACTTCCTATTCGAAATGGGATTGAGCCATTGAGCTGGTTCATGCTCAAACTCAGATATTGCAGCTTGGTGTTGTCGCCTATTTGGGAAGGAATTGGTCCGGTCAACATATTCATGGAGAGGTCTAGATGTGCCAGATTCACAATGCTTCCAAGATCAGCAGGAATCGACCCGGAAAGCCGATTGTTCTGCAGTCCAAGTACCGATAGTTGCGACAAATTCCTGATGCTTTTCGGTATCAATCCAGAGAGATTATTCGAAGAGAGTTCGAGCTCCACCAAATTTTCCAGCTGAGTAATCTCATCTGGAATTTCACCACTTACCTTATTCTCAGTGATCCTCAGAAGGGTCAAGTTTCTACATTCTCCCCACTTRGGAGAGAGGTTTCCATCAAACTGATTGTAGCTCAAATCTATGTAATTAAGATCCGGATACACTCCAAAATCTTGGTCCAGCGAACCAGTAAGGCTGTTGTTCTGAATCAAAACTCTGTATAAACTGGGACAATTTTTCAAACTCATAGGAATTGGGCCACTAAAACTATTGTGTGCAGCAGAGAAATTAACAAGTTTTCCCCCTTTACACACATGGAGAGGCAGAGTACCAATGAAATTGTTCTCAGCAAGATGAAGAACAGTCAAAGCTGACATATTCCCCAAATTCTGAGGCACTTCACCAGACAAATCATTAATGAACAAACGCAAATCAGTCAAGTTCCTCAAATTCCCAATACTCTTAGGAATTTCCCCAGAGAAATGGTTATCATTCAGACGAAGAATGTTCAAATTAGTCAAATTCCCCAAAGACTGAGGAATCGGACCAGAGAAATGGCTCCTATCGAAAGCAATCAAACTCAAAGATTTGATATTTCCAATCTCCTCAGGGACTCTGCCCTGAAGCAGAGTATCCTGAAGCAAGAAATTCCTCAAACTCCTCAGCCCAGTTCTGGAATCAGCAGACCCATCTGGGAAAAGACGAGGATCCAAAGACCCAGTAATGGAATTACGAGAAACATCGAGCTCAAAAACCTCTGTGAGATTCGCCAGAGAAAGGGGGAGCGTACTGTTGAGGAGATTGGTGGAGAGATCAAGAAATTGGAGCTTTGAGAGCACTCCAATGGAGGGCGGAATCACACCAGAGAGATTGTTGATTTTGAGATCAAGACGAAGAAGATTAGGAAAAGAAGAGAAGTTTAATTTGTCGAGAGTACCTCTCAAACCAGTGGAGGCCAAATTGATCTCGATGACGCTGCTCTGGTTGTTGCAGGCGATGCCCCGCCATTGACATGGGTTCGAAGCAGAGGAATTTGAGAGCCAAGAATCGAGAATTGGCTGAGGGGGGAGACCCTCCTTCCATCTGAGGAGAGCTTCGGTTTCTGTGGGAATGGCTTCAATGGCATTGCCGGAAAGGAGAAGAAACAGAGCAGCGGAAATAAGTGGGAAAGCTAATGAAACAGAGAAATGGTGATTTTGGTTATGGGTTGTGGTTTGGCTGTGGATGGCCATAATTGCTAGTTGGAAGTTTTCCAATTGGGAGATTGATGAAAGATTTAATGAKGATATAGAAGTATGAAATGAACCCATCAAGTTTGGTCAAAGATTCAGGCTTTACGCTCCCCTTTTCAAACTATGCACGAAAACCTGGACTACATGAAAGAGTTGAAGAACTCAAATTTTTTATTTGCTTAGTTCTAATTATTATTTTTTTCACAGCTGTTTAGTTCTACTTACTGCCCTTAAATAATTGATAAATAAGTGAGGTGAATGATAAAAGAAAAAGTCAACGAGATGAATGTGAAGATAAAAGAAATAGAAAATGTCAAGATAAATTTAACTTAACGATAATTGGTACATGTTTTTTGTCGAATCTTTCTATTCTATATTCAAGAATAAAAATAAATAAATAGATAAATAAATAATGGTCGAAATACCAACGCAGCTACATTTTATCCTAACCTTTTTTTTTTATCTTAATCCATTTTCACTAATGGACAAATAGTTTATTTATTATATTTAATAATTAGTAAACTTTATTAATATTTTTATTAAAAAGTAACTTTTTTTAGGTTTTTAGTTTTTAGTTAGATGTTAAAGACTTAAAGACCTCTTTGGCATGCACATTCTATTTATTATTTTTAGATTCATTTATTATTAATGTTATCATTCAATATTTTTTATGTTTTCTTTGTTTTTCCATTTAATTTTTTAAATTTAAAATGTAAAAATATATTTAATTTTTTTTATAAATATACAATTTCATGTTATGAACTAATTTCTTTTTTTTATTAAAATTAAAATATGTATTACATAATATATTATAATAAGATATAGGTCCATAACTCCCATTATTTTTATAGTTTACTATTGAACAATTTTTTAAATTCATATTTAATTTTCAAACTTGTTACCAATCTTTTTTGAAAATACTGAAATAATAGTGTTTTCATCATATTCTTTTTTCCTTCCACTTAAATTTTTCTAAGTTAACTATCTTATACCATGTTCAATAAAATCATATAATATCATATAATAATTTCACATGGCAACTTCAATATAAAAAACAACTATAGCTCAAATTGACAAGAAATATATATATATATTCTCGGAAGGTTTGATTGAAGTGATGACTTTTCTAGATAATGGTCTTTGAAGGGACGAATAAATAAATTAAAAGTTTCTGAGAAATGAGATTAGGGAGCACATTTATTAAACAAATAGCTATTAATGCTTTTTTAAACTAAGTTAATCACGCATTATAATTGATATATAAAATTGTCACGCCTTTCATTTTCCCTTCTTTTTGTTTGTGCTGATAAACTAAAACAGCCGACGGATCGGACCAGTAATGGTCTTCATCTTTATTACATGAGTTGACTTTGACAAATTTGTTATATGTAAATTTAATTCGATTATTTAATTAATACAATAATCATTTTATTGACTTCCAACTTCCAAGTTCGAATCAAACAAAAGCTTTCAAAAGTAAATAGTGGTTCAATCCACACTTCTATTGTAAAAAACCGAAAACAAAAATTGATGCCTTTAAAAAATGGCTAATAAAATCAGCTCAAATTTAAAAAATGAAGCTGTTATTTTTAGAAACGAGGCCTAAAATTTTATTTGTGAACAAGTGATAATATGTATTTTTAACTATTCTATTTTTAGATTTTCCTATACACGTAAATCTATTTAAAATTGAGTTTAAATGCTACTAGGTTAGATTTTTGTGTTTTTTTTTTCTCTTTTAAGATGTTGATTCTGATGTTATACTATAATTGTTTATTCATCTTAATCTCTATATTGCAAAACTATCTGTTTTAATCCACGTATTTTTAAAAAGTGACTATTTTAACTCTTTTATTTTCATTCTTAATCATATCTCATGTTTTTGGATCACAATTTTAATATGATATTTGGTCGTAGTCACTTACTAAATTTTTGGAAATACAACTATAAATTTGTATTGGAGGACTTCTATTGTGTATAAAACTTGTGTTAAAATTTTATAAACATGAATCGAAATGATCATATTTTAAAAGTATCGGAATCAAATAAACATTTAATTTCAAATTAAAATAAACTAAATTTAAAAGTATAGGCATTTTGAAAGTATAGAAACTAAATTAAATATAAAAAACTAAAACTAAAACGAAGATGAATAATCAAAATACTATTTACACTTTAAGATTGTGATGATTTTGAAAACTATATATAATGAGACATACATGGAAAAAAGAAAAGAAGTAAAAACCATCAAACTCAATTATTGTCAAAGTCAATCCATGCCTCCCTTAAGAAAGGAAAAAATTATTTATACGTTATCCCCCACTTGCAAACGTATTCAACTTTCACTAGAAAGGTGACAATATATATATATATATATATATTTATATATAAAATAAGGAAATTTAGGTGATATTATTCTTATCTTCAAACCGCTTGTGATTTTAGATTCAATATATATATATTTGTTATTAGGTATATATTATATAGTATATATACTTGATATCTTATATTTTCCGACCTCCAAGTTAAGCAATAAGAACTTATGTTTATTTATATATATAATGTAAAAATTTGACCAACACGTTCCCAAACCACTTCATATGTGAAAGTGAACTAGTGAAACTTGAAAAGAGTTCTCAATCACGAAAGTCAAATGTCGTCATTCTTTTCCCTTTCGGAACCAACCTGTTTAAAAATTCATATTTTTCTAATCGAGGTTAATTAAATAAATAAATATATTATTTATATTTTTACCAGTAAAATTTCTAATAAATAGCAAAAATTAAATATAACGTGATAAATTTGTAAATTTTATTTTTAAAAATTGTTTTTTATATAAAACTTTATTGTTTTTAGGTTACAAGTTGAGAGAACAAAAAATAAGTAATAGTTACGTGTTTTTTTCTTTTTTCCATCCCTCCCTCGTCATCTTCTTTCAAGAAAAATTAAAAATTTTAATTAAAAAAATCACCCCCTCCCCCTCTTCTTTATAAAGCTCATCTCCCACACGGGTGAATCCTCATTGTTTAATTTGTTTGAGAAAGATTACAGAGACTCCATCAATTCTTCCAACAAAAGATGAAGAAGAAGAGTGGAGAGTGGAGGAGGGAGGGAGGAAGCAAGAGGAAAAATTAGTGTTTACTTTATTTATAGTCCTGTGTTTAGGTAAATAATTAGCAAAATTGAGTTTTAATGAGTTTTATTTTTTCTTCTTTCAAACCTAACTGACTAGATAGGATATATTTGTTACTATCTCAAATATTGGTGGTTGGATCTTGTTATTAGGTAAAAACGAAATGTCACGTGTTAGAAGGTCAACTAAACCACCTAGGCTGGGTCAGAAAACCAACTCAGCATAAGCGACCGACAACAAAGCTGAGCACTCTTGCACGTACGATATGAAGGACAGCAAGTGAAGAGCTTAATTTTCAAGATTAGAATATTGACGAATACATAAATATAATATATATATATATATACTACATAAATCACAGGTCTTGCCACTGTTTGCTACACGCTTCACTAGTCTTCATCAACTTGTACTATGCACGTTAATTCAATAACTTTAGTTTTTTGTTTTTTAGTACAACATGTGAAGTTGGGAGATCGAACTCACAACTTCTTAGCTTGAAATATGTCAACTAACACTGAACTATGTTCATTTTGGCTCACTAACTTTAGTTAAATGTTTAAAAAATCTAAAATTAAATATATATATATATTAATCATAGTACACATCCAATTATTAGAATGAAGAAGATAAGTTGAACAATCGTGTCTAATCTTAATACAACAATATATTAACAAATTTAGCTAGTGGAAGGAACAATTTGCGCATGTGGAAAAGATTTTCCTCAATCAAACAAACCAAAATTAAAACTATCAATTATTACACTCCCTATTGCGCATTTGTGTTATTCTTAGGTGCAAAGCATTTAATTTGTTTAATACATTAATGGAGGTAGCATTACACTCCCCCCACTTTACACGTGCTAGCATGTTTGGTAAAACAGGCTCAAATATTGCAATAATATTTTGAATTCACAAATATAACAAAAAAGAAATCCAATAAAAAATTACACTCATCAAAAAGATTAAAACAGTCTCGATAGATAGATGACCATATCACTAATAGACACCTATAGATATAGAATACATGTTGACGATAAATTATATCAGTGAGAGACATATCTCTCAATCTATTAGTAATAGATTATACAATGAAAGACTATAATCACTTCACTTACGTAGGAAGATAAAAAGAAAATTACTTTAAAATGTTTAAATATATACGCACAAATTCCTTTAAGAAAATTCCCATGCAATTATAATCAGGAAACCCATTAAAATTTGCCCCCACTGAGTTTATAGGCAGATTCTTCTTTTGGGCCCGATTGAGCTAGAGTTGATCAATAGATAATATATCCATAAGCCCATAATCCATAAAAAAGTTGACATAAATCAGTTAGAACATCTGGTCATGTAGTACAATATTTATATTGATACGTACAATTTGAATAAAAATTCTACAAATCTCCCTATTTTTACTCTTTTCAGTACAAAAAACATGATTGAAAATGATGATTCAAACTAATCTTTTTGTTTTGAAGTTGGCGTTTTAACTTCTCCTCGTTTAAATCCAACTCTACGATAATCTTGAACTTTTCATTCATTTTTGTCAAACTTGTCGTTAACAATGTGAAATCTATGTAAAAAAGAAAAGGTCTTTTATCTTCAAAATTGTACAACACTGTACCATCGAAAGGCCACAAGTTTAAACAAAAAGAAATTCATAAATTTATTATGGAGATCCTCATAATTATATATAAAAATCCAACAGTACACAGATTCTTAACCAACGCCAGAGAAAGAGAATATACAATCATTCAGAGAAGTGCCCTTGGGAGGAAGATTTGTGTAAACAAAAAGGAATATATTCATGTATATACTTATTTACTAGATGATCTGTCATAACATAGAACAGAAAATTAAACTTGGGGAGCAGGTGGAGGAGTAAGGAAATAGTTTCCGTTCCAAGGGGGATAATCCAGCTCTCGAGCAATTAATCTTCTGCCCTTCACACCATTCATCA